CTCCCAATGCTCCTGAGGTGTTGGCAATTTCCAAGATGTTCATGTGAAACTCAAGAATGGTCTCATCTTCCATCATCCTTAGGTTCTCAAATTTGGTAGTCAGCATCTGAAGCCTTGACATTTTTACTTTGGATGTGCCCTCATGGGTAGTTTTGAGAGTGTCCCAAACCTCCTTGGCCAGTTCACATTGATGTACTAGTCTGAATATGTTTCTATCAATTCCATTGAACAAGGCATTTAAAGCTTTGGAGTTACCCAGGGCTAACTCATCTTCTTCTTTGCTCCATTCTTCCTCAGGTTTCAGACTGATTGTCCCATCTTTCCCAGTTATGGTGGGATGGTTCCATCCTTTGTCAGCAACTCTCCACGCCTTTTTGTCCAGTGATTTTAAGAAGGCAATCATACGAGGTTTCCAGTAGTCATAATTTGATCCATCCAGAATGGGTGGTCTGTTTCCAAAACCTCCTTCTTTGTCCATAGCGCCAGAAAATAATATCCCTAGATCTCACCCAGTAAGACAGGCAGGGTGCCTGCTCTGATGCCAATTGAAATTCTGGCTGCAGATACTTAATATCACAGTGAATGTTATGACACCGTATTTGACACTCTTCAAGACAGTAAAACTAAAAGCAGTAAATAACACAGTCAATTGTTTACCCAGTTCAGTGTGTAACAACACCTACTCTGGGGACTACCAAGCCAGGGAGGAAATCCACTATAAGAGATATTAATTCAGGAATAAACCAACCAGTTTATCTCCTTTACTTAAGACTTATCCAATGCAACTTCAATCTAAGTTCACCTTAAACCTGAGTTCCTACTCACTCCCCCTCAATCACAGCAGTGACATTAAACAATTGACTAATGAAATTATGAAGACACTCTTCAGAACATACACTTGATTTTGCTTCACAGATTTTAATCAAGTAACACAAACACTCGTGCTTCAAAGCTTTGAGTGATACACAACCCTAACTTGACTTTGCTTCAAAGCTTTAATCAAGTGACACAAACACTCGTGCTTCAAAGCTTTGAGTGATACACAACCCTTACAATCAAATCCTACTCCAAGTCACTTATCACAATGATAATTGCTTGGATTACAGTAGTTACAACTATACAGTCCCTTATTGATCTTCTGTCAATAATATCTTCCACCAACAGTCTTCATGAGGAATATATAGGCTGCTATTCTTCAGTTAGGGCTTCCACGAAAATAGCTAGGGTTAATTAGGTTTAACCTCAAGACTTAGTCATGGGACTTTAACAACCAGATTAGGGTTAAGCAAAGTTAACCTAAGTCCACGTGAGAATCTGATCTGGACTGAATAACCAGATTCCTGAAACTTCTCAGAAAATAATAAATCTGCACAAGTGTTAGTTCAGTACAGGATGTCTTAACATTGATTATGACAACAAGAATCCTGTTTACAGATTTTGGTAGAATGCAATAAATATGATCATTGCATAATGATCAGCTAAATACTCATATTGAGCAGCTCCTGTATGACATTTTTTTTCTGCAGAATGTGCCTTGTGTCCCAGAATGTTATGACATCAGTCATGACATTCACACAACTGGTTTTACCAAAAAACATGTCAACATTCAAACACTTACACTGTTGATCTAAAAAGACACAACATTGTTATAATGAACCTTTAATTATTTTTTTAAGATGCTACGAAATCAAAAATATCAAAATATCAAAAGTTAAATGGTATAATTTTCATGTTTATTCATTTTAATTGAAATGACTTGAGATTGTTCCACATTGAAATTTTTAGTTTTCGTATCAATGTAAAAATCTTAGTCAAATTTACTCATTTCCTCCTACTATCTTTTATTATTATTTTTTTATAACAAAAAGTTTAGGTGAATCTGACTTCAAGTTTATCAAGACCAAAACCGATTTCAAAACTAAAAAAATATAAAAGTATTTCTAAATCACACACTAAAGAGATTCTCACATCAGTAATAAAAATTGAACCTACCATTTCTCGATATATAAATCAACTATTTATTAATCGAGTTCATCTATCTTTGACTATTTATTAATTTTAAAATATCAATTATATTATATTATAATATAAAAAACATTTGTACGTAAATAATTAATATCAATAATAAGTGGAACCAACCTTTATGCCATTCCATTTACTATTCAGAACAGTATGGGTGTAAAGCTAGTACTATTACTACCACATTCAATATCTTGATAGTGCCCTCTTGCTTAATCTATAATCTAATATCTCACCTTATATATATGACACTAACCATGCACCTTCTCTTTACTTTCTCCCTATATATCTCTCACTTTATAGTACTACTTTATAAACAAACAAACAAAAACATCATTTGATTTCAAGTGTTTTCTTTCTCATCTCTTGATTATATATCATGGGTATTGATGTATTTGATGAAGAGTGTGATTATCTTTTTAAAGCAGTTGTAATAGGAGATTCTGGAGTTGGAAAATCAAATCTAATTTCAAGGTTTACAAAAGATGAATTTAGAATTGATTCAAAGCCAACCATAGGTGTTGAATTTGGTTACAAGAACATCAAGGTTAGAGACAAACTCATCAAAGCACAAATATGGGACACTGCTGGTCAAGAGAGGTAACATGTTTTTTCCATTGTTTTGTTCCTTTTTTTCTTCAAGATCTTGTTGACTTGGTTTTGTTAATTTCAATGGTTAATTAACAAAATTTACATAATCTAAGTTCAAATTCTCCATTAGCATATTTTCAATATTCAATATTCAATATTCAAAGTTTGTGTTCATATTTGGTTTGCTTAGTCTAGAAGATTTTAAATCAACTATGCTTTAATTGACTTTATTATTGTTAATTTTTTCATCACTTATCTACTTCCACATAATTTATAAATATTGGTCCCACCCCTTTTTTCATTTAACTAACCTTTGTTGTTGTTTGCTTTTGTATGTTACCGTAAATAATAAATAAAACAAAAAGAAAGAACGGGCACAAATGTTTTTACTTTAAAAAACAAAATTAGAACATTTTTTTCCAACTTACTACAACTCATGCGTGAGCATGACATTGATAATGATATCTTGAATTTGAAAATGTAAAGTTAAAATGCAAAAACTAATTAAAAATCAGGGTTGCCAGTTCACGTGGCCTTTGAAGGCATGGGTAGATAAATTTTGATTTAATAGAAATAAATTTTGATTTTACACTAATAATCAATTAGAAATATATATTACAATAAATTTTACTTTTATTTTTAAAATATTAAAATAATATGATAAATGTAATAACTTTGATTTATTACTTGTAAAATTATTTTATACCAACATACACTATCTTTAAACTTATAAAATAATTAAAAATAATAGATTTAAAAAATTATTTTATACCAACATACACTATTTTATACCAACATACCAAAATTATTTTAAAAAATTATTTTATACCAACATACACTATTTTATACCAACATACCAAAATTATTTTATACCAACATACACTATTTTTAATATTTAAAAAATTATAACAACATATAAAACCTTAAAATTTAACTCCAGATATAAGGATGGTGTAATGACTGAGATTGCGAAGTTATAGATTTATAAGGTTGGGTGAGGTGGGTCTAGTACAAGGATTGGGCATGCATAAGAAAACAAAGATGTAAATGAATTGAATGTGGATAGCATAGTAAGTAACAACAAAAAAAAACATGTTGACAATGAATAGGTCGAAGAAAACCATGTGACATAAACATGGTTTAGGTCACCAACCCCACAATCAATAACTTTATCTTCTTTCTAACTGTCCTAACTCACCAAACCATACAATCACTACTTATTAAGGAAATCATCTACCTTCACAATAATATAAATATCATTCTAACAATAATCTTAACGTCGGAATTTCACTTCTTAAAAGTGAATAATTGAGATGTTGCGGTTTCAAGCTCACGCTTCTTCAGTCGAATATTCCTGTATAATTATCAATTGAACTGTCTTAACTAAACTCTATAGTATTATGTTCCTGAACTGTTATCAATTGAATTGTCTTAACTAAGCTCTGGTATTTTTAGTTTTCATGTTATTTAATATTTGATCCTATACTTCATTCTCATACATATGTGCACAATTTAATGGTAGGTTTAGAGCTATCACAAGCTCATACTATAGAGGAGCATTGGGAGCAATGCTAGTTTATGACATAACAAGATTATCGACATTTGTTAACATAAAAAAATGGTTACATGAGCTAAGAGAATTTGGAAATGAAGACATGGTGATAATTCTGGTAGCAAACAAATCCGATTTGAGTCATTCAAGGGAAGTTGAGAAAGAAGAAGGAAAAGCGTTTGCAGAAAAAGAAGGTTTATGTTTCATGGAAACCTCTGCTTTGCAAAATTTGAATGTCGAGGAAGCTTTTTTACAAATGATTACTATAATACATGATATCATAAGCCAAAAAAGTTTGGAAGATAAAATGAATGGACCAAAGTTGAATCTTACTAATGGGAAGGAAATTCATATAGCTGATGAAGTTACTGCCACTAAACAGGTCAATTGTTGTTCAAGATGAGAATTTAGATGATTATTTTTCTATATTGTGTAAATATTATTACTTAAATTGTTATATGTCGATGCTATTGTATTTTCCAAATATATATTTATAAACAGCGACAATCATAATTTGTAAGGGATGAATAGAAGTTAAAATGTAAATGTTGGTTTTTATACTATAATTGTTCAAAGTTACATCTACAAAATTTCACAACTAAATTATAGACATCAAAGTTTAGAATTAATTACAACAAACAATTACAAAAGAAAGGAAAACCAACAAAACATAGAAAACAAAAGAAAGAAAATGGAAAAGAAAAGCATCCAAGAGTGGACTGAAAATAACAAAGAAAAGCACTCACATTTTTTCATTTTATAAAGTACTGTGCAGCGAAGTTCTCCATTTTTTTAGTAAGTAAATGAACAAAGATTTAGTTAGTTGTATGATTGTTTTCTATCTTTCGGAAGCAGATGATTGATCCTTCCTGTGCCTACCGGACGCAGTCGGTCGAGGCACTTGAGAACCCGTAATTGGCTTCTGTAATGGCTTTAGAGCTGCCAATATCTCAGCAAATGTAGGTCTTGCTTTTGAATCTCTGCAATACAAAGAGTAGCATCTAATCAACAAAACATAGAATACCATGTTTGCAATTGTTTTACCATGTAAATTTATACATAGATCCGCCTTTTAAAAACTGAATCAGACAGTAAAACCGATCGAACCATGAAGTGGCACTATTTACAGTTCGGTTATTTGAGTTGTTCGAACGTGATTTTGTCCCGGTTCGAACAGTTTAACGCAATTGAACTAGGATTTGAAGGTCTTGTCGGTTCAATGTCTGGTTCGGTTTTTGAAACGTAGATACTAAGAACGTTTTCGTACATGGTGATCTCAATGAAGACATTCACACGGAGCACTATGATTGTGAATTATACTCACGTCTGCCAGCATTTTCTGATAATATCTGCGATGGCAGGATCCATGTCGTCGGGAATGTCAAGACGGCGATATTGGAAACCCACGGCACCAACAACTTGCATGGAATTCATTCCTCTCCAAGGCTGCTGCAAAGTAGATAGTTCCCATAATATGACCCCAAAGCTATAGACATCACACCTGCATAATGCATTATCGCTTGTTAGCATCACAAAACGAAGAAAATTTAAAAAGTTGTAAAGTAAATGAGCACCAATGGGTCTTACTTTTCATTTGACGGTTCATTTCTCAACATCTCGGGAGCCATCCACTCGGCCTAAAACATTATATACAAAATGAAGTAAGCTTTTGTTCGCCGATGCAAACACATAGGATGATACATGCATATATAGAATGATTTGAATGATATGAAGAATAGCATGAAGAACCGAGTAAGCAAGACGATGAAAGAATAAACGAGTCAAAATGGACAGAGATTTACGATCACTTACTGTGCCTGCAGTTGATCTGGAAGAAAGGAATGTGCTATGCTTCATACGTGATAAGCCAAAATCACACACCTATTCAACAGACAAAATAAAAAGCCATCATCACGATTCACGTCAATACATAGCATTTCTCATACTATTAAAGAACACGTTTATTCGATTAGATTACCTTTACAACCCAATTTTTATCAACAAGAAGATTCGGAGACTTCAAATCGCGATGTACTATCACTGGACTACAGTTGTGCAAATAGTTCATTCCTCGAGCCTGAATATTCAGCTGTTATAGCAATAATTTTCTGAAATTCAGCAACATTTCATTGAAAGACAATAGAATCTTACAGTATCAAGCGCCATTCTCAAACGTCTCCGTTCATCTAATTGATTGTTTGGCCGGTGAATTAATCTATACAAACTTCCTCTGCATAAAAGGATGCACATCTCAGCATTCCAAGAATAAAAAAATGAAACAACAAAACTGTACTAAACTGTTGGAAACGAAGATTTCAAGTTACCTTGGTAGAAATTCAGTAACGATTGAAAGATTTGGAGGTCGAATTACAGCTCCCATGAAGAGAACCACATTTGGATGCCTCAATCTTTTCATTATTCTGACCTATTTGCAATTTAATACCATAAGTTTTCTGGTACATAAATAATATCATAGGTTTTTCATTATTCTGATCTATTAGGAAGGAAATGTGACTAATACCTCACTGATGAATTCTTCAAGTGTTTCACCGGATATATCTTGATTTAGAAACCTCTTTACAGCAACTTCCTACAAACCAAAAGCATTTAGAGCATGTTTGGAATGAGCTTATTTAAGCTTATATACTTGTATAAGCATTTGCGAGACTGTTCGGAAGAACTTATGATATGTCCGTTAACTGTTTTCAGCTTATGTACAATTGACGTGTGCAAAAATATAAGAAACTTACGGTTCCTCGCCATTCACCGCGATACACCTCCCCGTAAGATCCTGCATGACAAATGTGTGCCACCCAAATGCAATCAAGTCTTCAAGTGTAAAACCAAACAAATAGCACCGTCAAAGAAAAGAATGTTAAAAAAATCTTAGAGAAAAAAGTAAAGTTAATACCAAGTCCAATACGTTCACCGAGTGTGATTTCCTCCCACGGAATTTCATACTCAGCAACTTCGTCTAAAGAAAAATCAGATTTTATACTGTCATTACTTACAACTGAGCTTCCGGATCTTCCCAAATTCGTTCCAGAACCTTCGGTATCCGCGTCGCTTCGACTGCTCGGCTCATACTTGCTAACTGCAGCAGTAGCTGCTACTACAGCTGCAGCAGTAGCAGCTGCCGAGACTGAAAGCTCGATGTTGGAGTCAGTGTTTGACCTTGCCACGGCTACTACCATAGAAGATGCAACAACTGCAGCCGCTGCGGCTGCCGCTGCAGCAGATGGCACCTTTTTCCCATGTTTTACCTGAGTCGGTAAAATGTTTCCAACACCTTCTCTTGTATGAAGAGGAAGATTGGCTCCTAAACCTTCTACGGGCTTAAATCTAGCAGGACTGAGACTATCGTTGAATTCCACTTCCTGATGTTCACTTCCTTGTTTGTGTTCATTTTTTACTTCGTTTGAGAAAAGAGTGTCTTCGTGATAAATGTTCGAAAATAAATTTGGAGGAGGAACAATACCACTTTCGAGTAAAACATCATGAAGTTTTTTAGCTAAGTGAGGATTTTCCTTGGTAGTTTCGATCATAAATTGCGAAACATTTTTGGCTTTCATTCGGTTTACGACAGAGGAACTGATCCCTTCACTCCATGAAGATGATCTCAAGTGCACATATGAATTGACCTTCTTAACATGGTGATGTTTTGATCTGTTTCCCCTGCCTGACATTCCAACATCTGAAGCTTCTTCCGACGAACTTCCAACTCCACTGCTTGATGATGCTACGCGAGAAGAATCAACCTCTCTTGATGAAGGGCTTGCTTCAAAAACGGATTCATCATACACAATATGTGATCCAATAGCATCAGATGGAATAAGAGTTCCAGGATCTGCCATTAGATCAACAATATACTCCCTGAAATTTATATCAAAACATGTCTTATAGCGCTATAACATAGCGGAACTTAAACAAAGCACTATAGCTCCGCGATATGCTATCTAGTAGAAAATGTTATCAAATAGCGGCACTATAGTACTGTCGTTGGGTAGCGGAACTTGAACAAACCACTATTTGCCACGGTTAAATTATTACGACACAAAACCAAAACTTTGAGATCCGTTTACCTTCCATCAATCTTGACAAAGTTTATTGCCACGTCATCAGAACCTGTATATTGTTGTCCTTTCACCAACCGCGATGGAATTGTCAATCTATCAGCTAGAACCTGCAATTATGATGAAGTGGTAAATTTCATTGCATTACCAGTAATACTTGTCTCAGTCTTTCTTTCGATATGATCTAACGATGGTGGACTAATTACCTTAAATAACAATGCACGATGCCGAGCTAATCCAATAGTCAAAGAACCAAGTGGCAAAACCATGCTACCAAGAGTTGTTTTCAGACTATAACTAAGACTTCTCCATGCTTTAGACATGCTTTCAGGATTTCCGACGGGTCCACCCATATAATCAGCCACAAATACTGCAAGCTTGTGAACCAAATTCGTATCTATAACTACTTCAGAATCACGTCTCGATTCGACGATCAGCTCAAGTGCTTTCTGCTCAAGTTTCAACAAATTAGAATCAGCAGCCCTATTGACTAAGACAGCTTCCCATGTGACATTACCTGAGATTGGTCTTCCTTGAAGATCCGTAAGGGAAGGCATTCTTGCTGCATTTGACTCGGTTAAGATCCCATACAGATCATAGAATCCATCCATGACTTTGTCGTCGTAACCAAGAGCATTGTAATTCTGTGAAGAACGGATAAATCTACGATATGAGATAAGTTAGAAAGTTTTATAAATGTAGGACTAATTCGAGTCAAGTAAACCAAGAAACTATGGAAATGGGTTCACTTCGTTTCAAAACTATCCACTATAATGGTCATCTACAACGATCCAAACCAAATCATTAATCCAATGAATCCTAAATCCTAATCGCTTCAATCTATAGAAAACCATAATTATACCACTGATCTAATACTTCATATCGAAGTTGTGTCTGACACGTGCTAGTGTTCAACATTGGCACAACACACATATAGTTACATTCAATTATAAGTATTGACATGTCAGTGTCAGTATCCTGTTTAGTGTGTGTTAGTATCGTGTTTGGTGTCAATATGCTTAAAACCAACAAAGAGACTCACCCAGTATCTGTATGCCACAATTTCTGCCGGTGAATTATCCAGATCACAAGACCCCAAACTAATCTGCTTAACAGCTTCAATCTGCACAGCCTCAGGATCCTCCTTAGCACTCATCTCTAAAGCCAGTTTCAATTGATACTCTTCCTCTACTTCAGGATCCCTGGAAACCTTTTCTCGACAACCCAAATCGCGCCTACCCGAATCCGAAACAACACTCAAATCAACACTTCTCCCAGTGTCAGATGGTTCCATCCTCTCAAATTTTCCTTGATTCAAAGATGTAGAACTATGACTCTTCCTATTAAGCTTCTTAGAAGATGAAACTGAACCATGATTGGACTTGTTTCCCTCTAATGAAGAAAACCCTTGTTCATTTTCTGATTTCTTAGACATTATCTGAAACTTCTTAAGAATATTCTTCATATCTTTTCACTATAACCAATAATACTAAATGCTAGAGAAAAGGAAACATATCTATATTGATCCAAAACTCCCTCAAAAAAGGGTAGCTAGAAAACCATTCAAAAAGTTATCTTTTTTTTTTTATAATGGCAAAAAGCTCTTAAACCTATAGATACCAAAATATTCAATCAAATCATGAATACAACAATCACTTGCTAGATTTTATTTATATTCTAGCTGAAAATCCCTTAAGAATCTTTAACCAATCAAGGTGATCCAAATGGTCATTTCATTTTATAGCAGACAATAACATGTAACAAACAAACAAACATGTGTACACTCAACAACTACAAAACTTCACATGTTGTTACAAACTTTAGAAAGAAGAACAAAAAAGGAACAAGGAATCATTGAACACCCTATATTGAGAAAAAAGAAAAGTATCTTTCTAAGTATGGCACAGAAATAGAAGGGATAGAAAGAGTGTTGAATAATAGATTAATATAAGGGTAATTAGAATTTAGAACATAAAGTAAAAACACTAGAGAGAGAAAAAGAGAAGATGGTTACAAAGTATCGAGGGCCACAACACAAAGTATGACTCATGTCACGACTCATCCACCCATTTGAGAGATTAGTAGAAATATTACACACTTTACAAAAGTAAATTTGTACTAGAGGTGTTCAAAATTAAACTGAACTAAACCGAATTGCATGTCTTTTTCTCTTACAGTTCAGATAATTTTTTACTTCAAAATTATGTGAACCACGTCGGAAACACTCCTAATTTACATCACTAAATTTTGATATTAAATTTGCAATATTATGAATTCAAATTAGGTCTAAATTATTTTCATATTTATTTTGTTGTGCTGCTTGATTGTGGACTATTGGATCTAATGGCAAAAGTATGGCATGTCAGCGTTTAACAAGTCTTTACTCATTAAGAACAGTGACAGCTGGTTCTAAATGTGACCACACATTTTTATTATTTTAACAAAATAATGGGGACCAAATACACCCAACTTTTCAAACGTGTGCTTGCTTGTTCATGTTTACAATTAAAAATGATTGCTCCGGTCCCATCTATTTACAAATTCTTGAATATTGACAAGTTTAATTTAGGGTTTTTGTAAGAGGAAAATGTATCTAGTGAAATCCTCTAGAAAATAAATCAAATATCTTGACCTAAATTGCAAGAAATATCAAAGGATGTATCTGTTAGCTTAAGATTATCTTGTTGCCTTTATATGTAAGCACATAAAAGATTTGGAAATAAACTGTGATATAATTAAGGAATAATTTATTAATAATCGGATGATTGTTTCTTAATAATTTTATTTTTTATTTATAATAATTTGTATTTATTATATTGTTTGGATATTGTTCTATAAATAAGATCAATCTCTGAGTAGAAATACACCTATAAAATAATATAAAATTATTTTCATCTATCTCTCTATTCTTTTATTATTTCGCCTTATTTCATAATTCGTTGTCAGCACGAAACTCTACCAAACTTGAAAAGGAAAAAAAATTGAAGTTCTAACTATTAGAGGTAATTCTTTTATGTTTTTTTTTTAACTTATTCACTTTGAGTTTTGATATGATGTTATATGAGGAATCTCTGAAGGATAGTAAAATAATAGTTTATTATATAGTTTCTGAATAACTCATTAAGCATTCCTGAATGATAGTAAAATAACAGTTTGTTATATAGTTTTCGAAGAACTTAACAAACATCCATAAAGGATAACAAAATAATAATTTATTATATTGTTCTTTAAGAAATTATCAAATATCAGATAGAAAAATAATAAATTTATATTGTTTTTGAAGAACATGTGAAGCATCTCCGAATGATCAAAATAAAATAAAATATATTGAATTTTTTATTTAGTTCCTAAAGAACATATAAAATATCTCTGGAGGATGGAAAAATAATGAGTTTTTGATATAGTTCCAGAAGAACATATAAAATATCCCATGGAAAAATTTAATTATGATATAAAGCACCTTTGAAGGATAGAAACATTATGAATTTCTGATATAGTTTCTGAAGAACATATAAAATATCCTTAGAGAATAGCAAAAATAATAAATTTGTTTTATAGTTCCTGAATAATTGAAGAATTACAAATATTATTATTTTTATCAATAAAATATTTGTGATTGAGTTCTTGAATAATATTATAGTAAGAATTATACAAATGATTATATTTTAATTTTGATTGATGAAATTATTTATAGTTTCCGAAGAACTTAAAGTTTAATAATATTATTATCATTAATTATTTTGTCTCTATAGATCAGAAAATCAACAATGATTTTTATGCATCATAAAACAAGTGCATCGATCATGTTATTAATTTGCTGTAAATTATTGATTGACAAAATTAATGTGATTAATTTAATATTTTTTTATAATATAATATTATATTTTTGTGATTATTTTATTAAGATTGACATGTATTTATTTGATAATTAGATGTTGTCAATTTGTTATTAATTTGTGTTATTATTATTAAGTGTGTTTTATAAAAATAAAAATAAAACGAATTTCCCAAATATAAAGTGTTTTTTTTTTATGATAGACATTTATTTTTGAATTTTTTATATCGTAAAGATAAATCTTAATGGTGATTTAATTGAATAAATTATTTTCTTAAAAAAATGCATTTTATAGTATACATACATTTTCTATTGTTAAATTTCTAATACGTAAATATTTATTTTGTTTTATTTCAAATTTGTTTATTAAGTTATAATTCTTGCATAAAATCTGTAGAATTATTTATATTTGTTGAATAATTTTTGTACTCTATATTATATATACATAAAGCATAAGAAAATGTAGTAATGTGTTTTATGTACTAGGTGATTATTAGTAAAATTTAGAAACTGTTGATTAAGATGTGAAAATTGTAATTAAATTATATGCCATCAATCTATATGAATATATTTTATACAAGTGTATTTATTATTTACTATGGATTGATACAAATTAGAAGAATAGAATCATATGTTTTATTGTAAATCAGAAGTTTACAAGTTTACAAATCACTGTTGTTGGCAAAATCAGTTGGATCATCGCGAATGTATTATGAAGTGAAAACTATTATTGAAGAACCAGAAGTTTCTTCAATCCAATAAATTTTTGTGTGTTTCTAATAGAAAATAAAAATGTGATAAATTGAGTTTTTTATGATATTAATTGTTGCATCGACTAAAATATTATGTAAATGTTTATTGTCTACTCACAACCAGAAATTTGTGAAGTTGTTTTCTCAGACTAAGATCTTAATTTTTGAATTTTTCAGAACTTTCTTGATAAGTATCACATATATTATTAAAATTAATATTGAACATCAAGTAGCATATGTTTCAAGAAAAAAATGGACTCGAAGATCCATTCTTTAAACGTCTAAAGTTAATTGTATGGTTGATACTTGTGAGATCCTAAATTTTAAATTAGATATTTGAAACACACAAATTAGTATATGTTAATTATCCCCTTAACTTACAAATTATTGTAGGTTAATAACCTAATATATCTCATCTAAGTAAATTTTTGGATGTGTTAAGATTATTCAGTTGTTCCAATATAGTACGCTAAGACGAGTTTTTGGAAGAATGTTGAGAAAATGTATTTTATATGAATTCTGTATTTGAAGATATATCTTGATTCAATAATTAGATACTTGTTTGAAGTCCAGTAGGTTGATTATCAACTGATAAATTAATTTTCTCAATATTAGAGGGAGAGAATAAGCAGCTACAAGTGTGAACCAGAAATTCAAATGAACAATTTGAAATAAAATATTATATATTATTTTGATCCTCAAAGTTCAAAACACAGTTCATTTGCAAAGTTTATGAAACAAATTATCAGCTGCTAATACTCCACTCAAAGTGAATTTTCCTATTAGACAATCAAATATTGCAAATAAGTTGTAGCCGCGCCTGAAGCGTGGTAGAAAAGTCGGTTCCAATATTAAAAGTCCTCTACCAAGAAAAGAAACTAAAGTTAAAGATGACCCAAGTGAGGATATGAAAATTCTAAGAGCACTTTGACATAATTTATTTTTTAGTTCCAAAAGAACTAATTAAGTACTTGAAATATGAAATAAAGAGATCTCGATAAATTATGTCATGGATAAAATATAATGGAATCGAAATTAAGATAATCAAATAAAGTCGACATTGGCAATGTATTTCTATACAGTATAACTCTAAAGATGATAAACGATAATGAGGATCGTGAAACAAATCTACCAAAGATTATAGACAAAGTAAGAATTGGTTAAAATGAACAAATCAATCAATGTCTATCAAAGATTGTAGACAATGTGAGAATTGGTCAAAATGAATAGATCGTGAATAAAAGTTTACCAATATTATAGAAAAATGAGAATTGAACAAAATGAATATATTCAATTGAAGAAGAATTAAACTCACTTTACAAGTGACTCGATTTTCGACTTGTAGTATGATAACACTTACTTTACACTTATTTTTGACTCTGATTTCACATGTTATTTAAGTTTTTTATTATTGTTTTCTCGTATTATGCCTATTTTTTGTTTCCTTTTCAGGTATTTCAAATATCTAGAGCTCCCTGAAGAAATGAAGGAAAACAGGCTGAAAAACAGGAGTTTAGGTCAAATTTGCACTCATGGCGTCCACCATGGCGCCAGCCATAAGGTAGGCCATTGACGTGGACCACCTCCTGCTGACCTCAACTGCCACGTTCCCCACTTCCTTTCATTTACACTCATAGCGGGCGCCATGGCCTCCATGGCGGGCGCCACCTTTGGACGATGTTTCCCCCCCAAAAGGAGTTGGGGGGCATTCCTGTGATTTCCTGCATTCCTCATCCTCTATAAATAGAAGTTCTTGATTTCATTTCAATTCACCCAAGATTAGTTGCAAACTTGATCCAACCATAGTTGCAAACTTAAGCCATATAATTTCACCATTGTAAAGCGATAATTCTTCACATCGGGGAATTATTGCATTGT